AATTTGGATTTTTCAGTGATCATTGCTTGGTTAGCAAATTTTGATTTGTTAGTGACCATCGTTAAGCAAGTGAATTTGGATTTGTCAGAGAACATTGCTTCGTTAGTGAATTTGGATTTTTTAGTGATGATCTTTAAGCAAGTGAATTCGGATTCGTTAGTGATGATCTTCGAACAAGTGAATTTGGATTTTTTTAGTGATGATCTTCAAACAAATGAATTTGGATTTTTTAGTGACCATCGTTAGACAATCTAAAACATATTGCAACTCTTTTTTGAGAAAAAAAGGTAAAGAATTATGACAGTGAAGCAAACTTTTAAGGGAAGTGGGACATTTTTCATTTTTATCACCGAAAAGTGATGATTTCCGTTATCAGATCCAGTCTATGGATTAGCCTAGATAAGAACGAATTCAAAAATAATCAGTTTATTATGATTACATGGCTTTTTTCGAGAATTTAAGGTGATAATAGGAAATCAAGGTCTGAGGTCGGATCAATTTTATCCGCTCTCCATTGAAACCTATGGAAAATCGTACCTCGGTTAACGAACATTTCGGTTAACGACGGTTTTTCAGGACCCGATCATCGTCGTTAACCGAGGTACCACTGTATTTTATTTTGATCATTTTGTTTTTGTTTTTGTTTTTGATATAGGAAAAATATCGATACAAATAGCTGGTTGGAATATAAATTGGATCGAACAAAATTAGCTAAATATGATGATAGTTTTCGATATACACATTCGAATAATATGATTGCTGCTGTTGATGATTATGATGATTCACGATGTTCAACATTATCAACAACATTACCATTGCCACAACGATCATCATCATTATCAACAAATAATGATGAAATAAAAAATCAAAAAATTAATAATAACAAACATAAACTAATGATCAGATCCTGGTGTTGGAATAAATCATTATCCAAACATAAACAACAGCCAAATTCATATCATCATCATCATCATCAAAATCATCTTCATTCATCATCACCAACATCAACAAACGGTCTATTTGATGAATATCATTCAAATGATTGCGTGATCAAATCATTCGGACAATCAAATGGTTATTATAATCAAAATAGAATGATGTTCTTTGCTACTGCAGATAATACTTTTCCGCATCCGTATCATCATCATCATCATCATCGTAGTAATTTCAAAGCATCTAAATTATTGTTGAACAATAATAACAATAATGATTATAACAATCATTATTTGGAACATCCATTCATGTATAAAAATATGATGGCCTCATCAAAAATGTTAACATCACCATCACCGTCATCATCATCATCATCACCTATTTATGTTGTTGATATTCCAAAGAAAATATCAAACAATCATGATAATGAAAAAAATAAAATCATAAATATTAAAAAGAAGAAAATTAATAAAAAAATCAAAAACCAAAAGAATAAAAAAACTAAATCATCATTTACATTATTTGGTAAAAAACGTTATTATCCAAATGATTCGAAAAAACAACAACAACAAACAGATTTACAGCCATTTTTTTCATCAACATTATCAACAACATCATCATCATCATTGACAGCTAAATGTAAGGAAAAGATAATTACGGAAAAGAAACATAATCATAATCGTTGTTCATCAATAATTGATGATCGTGATTATGAAGTACAAACAGTTGAAATGAATTTAACCGGATCGGATGATGATGATGATGATAATTATGATTGTATCGATGGTGATGAAAAACAACAAAAACGATTATCTACAAATAAACAACAATCATTATCGCCACCATCACCTGTAGCCGCCATTGTAATGGATAAACAAAAAACAATGGCAATGAATATTCGTCAACGACAACGACAGAATCCGAATCCAAATCATTTTATCAATAAATCAATGTCACAATTATATTTGATGAAAAATAATTTACAACAACTTAATGATCGAAATCATTCATCAACAACCGCAACAACCATATCAGCTAAAAATCCATTATACATGGAACATATAACAACAAATGAGTAAATTTTTTTTTTGCTAATTATTTCTGTTTCGGATAATTAATTTTGTAATATTTTTTTATTCTCTACCCCAATTTAGTGAAATGATTGATAATAATAATATGATATATGGTGGTGACATACCAATATTTCGATCACAATCATATCATAATCTAACAACAAACATTGCTAACAATAAACGATTAATCAATGAAATCGATTATTATCCACGACGATCATGTTGTACAACATTTCAAAAACCTTTAACAGATATTGATCATCATCATTTAATATAATCATTATTTTTAACGGTGTATTTATAAAGTTTTACAAATTTTTTTTAAGTTCTTTTAATCGATTTTAAAATGAATGTATTTTTCATGTTTTCAATGAAAAAATGATTTTTTTTTTTCTTACCGTAAAAATAAAAAATTATTTGTTTAGGATTTGATCGATGACTTTTTATATAATGAAACTTTTCAAAAGTGACATTTACCATTTGTTTTCCATCACGTATATGATATGGATTTATTGAATAAAATTTTTCATATAAAAACTAGCTACCATAGTGAATATTGAAACATAAGCAATTGATACCTAAATTGAAATGAATTTTAATTCGGATAGAAAATTAGAATAAAAATGAATAAAACAAACCTGAACAAGAGTAGAATAGGTAATAGCACCGATAACACCGAATGTAAAACAACATGGTTTACCATACATAAAACGGTTATAAAAATCGTCATATTGTAATTTCAATCGTATATTTCGTATATATGGAATAGTTTTCGGAATATGCGAACGAATTTGTATCATACACTTATGAACATGTGCTCCTGATGCTGATGGAAATATCGTAATTAATAAATGCATTACAGTAAAAAATAAATAAAGAATTTGTTCAATTGGACCAGGATGACCAAATATCAAAAAGCATACAAAACAAACATTGAATGGTATTCCAAGCATAATAAATTGAAATGATGCTCTACTCCATTTTTCACGATCTCCACGTATTATGTAACCACTAAGACGAATATGTTCAAAATAAATTGATCGTAATTGCAAAGAATTTTTATTTGAATAATTTTGCTTCAAACACAATTGTTGTGACAATAAACGAAATTTTTTACTTAGATCATTAAAATCACAACAATGATGTAATGATGCTGTAGTTGCCACGCATATGGTCAATAGTGATATTTGTAATAAGATCATTCCCGCTACAAATATTCCCAAAAACACATCAATTAATACGATAAACCATGCACGAAAACTTTGGACAACATTTTCATTGGTTTTGAATTCAATAACAAAGAATACATATAGGCAACACATTATAAATACTGTAAATGAAAATGAAAACAAACAAAATTCAAATTAATTATTGAAATTGAATCAAACATTAAAAAAACTTACATGCAAACAAATGAAAAATAAAAAAAAATCCATTTTGTATGATAATGCACTGAACAAGATATACTCTTGTACGTACTGGTGTTTTATCAAATATTTTCATTGGATTTTTGATGAACATTTGTCGATCCAATCGAAAAAAATCAATTTCGATCCAAGAATCAAGCCATGCTTTTAGCCAACAATATCGACTAAATATAGACATCGGTATGATCAATCCATTAACAGTCATACGTTGTCGAAGATATATTTGCCGTCGAAGTTCGATTGAATCTTTAATGGCAATTGGATTTTTTAAACATTTACGATAATTTTCAAAATTGCGAACCATTAAATCGTAAATAGCTCGAAACACGAATGTTTGTTTATCACAAAGGTAGAATTCCCGTAAGCCGAGTAGGCATAGAATTGCCATCAAAGACAAAATGAATACAACAAATTCATTATAAATATTTCGATATACCCAGACAAAAAGCGCCAAATTATCAAATCGATATAATGGTAATATATCTGGCCATCTCAACATAATTATGATGGCAATGCAACGAAAATAATAACAAACTATCATAAAGAATTCAAATCTATACAACAAACGTAAACGATAATCATTTTCTTGTTCGATCAATTGCTTAATCTGGCCATAACTAAATTCACGAATATTTAAGAACATATTGTTTCAATGTTTATCAATGTATGTCTTGATCATAAATGATGGAAAATGACAAAAACTATTCAATCGTTTTTTTCTTATATTCCTTATTTTTCCATCGTAAACTTGTAATAATATTAATTTAAAAAAATATTATCATTAATATCTTATTCTTTGATATATACATTAAACTTTTTTTAGCCTCGAAATAATCATTAATTGCCATTCGTATGGTTGAGTTTTTTTTTCTAAAAAACAAAAATCGATTTTTTTTGTGTTGATTCTTCCAGGAAAAAATGTCAAAACATGAACATAGAGAAACACAACAACTTTTTTCAAGATATTTTTTTTTCATTTCAAATAAATTAAAAGTTGTCATGATTAGACTTTCTTAGCTAATATTTCTGTCTATATATTTCATTAATTATTTTTTTCTTGTATGGAATTTTTCTTCATCTCAAATAATTGATTATTTTTTTTAATGTTTTCATTTATTGCATAATTTTTCACAAATATAAATGATCATACATTGAATAGGATTAAAACATTTCGATTAATTGAATTATTAATTCAGGTATGAAAATTTTTCCGATAAAAATTTGTCACCAAAATAAATATTCCAATATAAGCTGTCACAGCCTAGATAGAAATAAAATTAATTGAAAAATTTTTTGGATTGAAAAATTAATACAAACCTGTGAAAGGGTAGTGTAAGTAACAGGACCAATATAACCAAATGTAAAACAATATGGTTTACCATACATAAGACGACCATAAAGATCATCATATTTTAATTTCAATCGAAAATGTCTTAAATATGGAATACCTCTTGTAATATATTTTCGAATTTGTTTAATATAATTATAAATATGAGCTAATGATGCTGTGGGTAAAATTAAACTGAATGCATGTATTACAGTTATGAATATATAAAGAGATTTTTCATTTTGACTTGGATGGCCAAATATTAATACGCACATGAAACATACATTCATCGGTATTCCAACCATAAGAAATTGACATAATGACATGCTCCATTTCATACGATCTGTGCATATTATATAACCACTAAGACGATTATGTTCGAAACAAATAAATCGTAATTGCCAAAGACGGAAATTAGAAAAATATTGTTTTTGACCAATGAACAATGAATTAAATTTCCTATTTAAATCATTAAAACAAAGACAATAGATTAATGAAGATGTTGATGCCGCAAATATTGTCAATAATGCTGATTGTAATAGATTCATTGCCCCGTTAATTAATGTAGTTATATCGATAATAACGATAACCCATGTTCCGAAACTTTCAACGAAATTTTCATGAAATTCTTTCACGAAAATTGCTGTTATAAAAAAGGCAAATATCACTGGAATAATAAATGAAATATGCTTTAAATTCATTCATACAGTCCAAACTTTTTTAAAATTTAATAACAAAATACAAACTTACTTGTAATTAAATGAAGAATGAAATTAAATCCATCTTGTATGATCATGTAAAATCCAAGATAAACTCTTGCACGCACTGGTGCTTTTGTAAATAATTTCATTGGATTTTTGATGAACATTCTTCGATTCATTCGAAAAGATTCCATTTCGAGCCAAGAATCAAACCATGCTTTTAGCCAGCAATATNGACTATATATAAATAACGGTATGATCGATCCTTTACGTTTTCGGAGATATTTTTGTCGCCGAAATTCGATTGCATTTCGTATGATTAGCGGATTTTTAATATGACATTTGTGATAATGTTCCAAATTTATAACCATTATATCGTAAAGAACTTGAAACGCCAATGTTTGTTTATCACAAAGATAAAATGTATGCAAACCTACAACAATGATTAAAAGTACCAATATTAACAGGAATAATAAAAATTCATCATAAATATCACGATATCTCCAAATAAAATTGCCGAAATGATCATATCGATATAAAGGAAATAAATCCGGCCATTTAAGCATCAACATAATAGCCATAACACGAACAATAGTTAATATTATGATGGCCATTTCAAATCGATACAACAAACGTAAACGATAATCATCTTTACGTTCGACCAATTGTTTAATTTGGCCATAACTAAATTCATGAATACGTATGAACATTCTTGTTGACAGCCCCAATGACAAATGTTGAAATGTCCTTATTACAAGACATTCAGTCTTGACTATTTCAAACGTTTGTTATTGTTTTCAAAGAGTAATTAAATCTTATATTGATCATTTATTTTTCTTTCTAATGTAACGATCCCCAAAAAAAAAATTCTACCAGAAAATTCTTCATAAACTAAAATTAAAAGCCTATTCATTATTATTTTTTTAAATAATTGTTTTTGAATAGAACAATCTTGTTATATAACAAATAGGAGAATAACCTTCATTTGAAAAATTTTCATACACATTTTATTCATTCATTATTCTGAAGTAGGTTTTTTTTCCTCTGTACCACCAAACAAATATAAATGAAAATAAATTTTTTATCATGCATGTCAACAGGAAAAAAACGACTTTGAAAAACAAAAAAAAACTGTTCATTTTCAACAAAGATCTCATTTGATCATTAAGAACATTTGCTTTTTCGTATCAACACTTTTTTTAAAAAAATATTAATCAATACATATCATAATTGTTAATGTGTGCTATTTTTTTTGGCCTTAACTTAAAAAACTTTCAAAACAAAAAATAAAATAAATATTTCATTTATCAAAATTTATTATTATTATTATTAATGACCATAACATTTGTGGAAAATAATAATGAATTTTAACAATCGATTTGAATAACATTAAATAGGATTCTGGTTAAAAAAAAAATCATATGCAAAATTGATGAATGTGATAAATACGTCAATAGGTTTAATGGTAGCAAACATACAGGCAATAATACTTCCTTGTAATATTAATTCAAATATTAAAATTTTTCAGATAACAATTTGTAACCAAAATAAATATTAAAATATAAGCTGTCAAAGCCTGTATTGAAATAAAAAATTAATAAAAAGAAATATCAAATGAAAAATTGATACAAACCTGAGAAAGGGTAGTGTAGGTAACAGGACCAATATAACCGAATGTAAAACAATATGGTTTACCATACATAAGACGACCATAAAGTTCTTCATATTTTAATTTCAAACGTAAATGTCCTAAATATGGAATAGTTCTTGAAATGTATTTTCGGATATTCTTAATATAATTATAAATATGAGCTAATGATACTGTGGGTAAAATCGAACTGAATGCATGTAATATCGTTATTAATAAATAATACATTTGTTCACTTTGACCCGGATTACCGAATATTATAACGCACATAAAACATACATTCATCGGTATTCCAACCATAAGAAATTTACATAATGCCATATTCCATTTTTCACGATCTGTACATATTATATAACCAGTAAGACGATTATGTTCGGAACAAATAAATTGTAATTGCCAAAAACTGAAATGAGACAAATATCGTTTCGGATTCATAATTCGTATTAATAAATGAAATTTTCTATTTAAATTATTAAAACAAAGACAATAGATTAATGATGATGTTGATGCTGTAAATATGGTCAATAGTCCTGATTGTAATAGATTCATTGTTCCATTAAATAATGCAATTAGATCGATAATTATGATGAACCATGTGCCAAAATTTTCGACATAATTTTCAGAAAATTCTCTTATAAAAATTATTGCAAAATAAAAAGAAAAAATCACTAAGATAAAAGATAAAAGTAATTAATAAGATTCAATTTAATCATGGTAACAAAACTAACTTGAAATTAAATGAATAATAAAATTGATTCCATCTTGTATGATCATGTAAAAGGCAAGATAAACTCTTGCACGCACTGGTGCTTTTGTAAATAATTTCATTGGATTTTTGATGAACATTCTTCGATTCAATCGAAATGATTCCATTTCGAACCAAGAATCAAACCATGCTTTTAGCCAGCAATATCGACTATATATAAATAACGGTATGATCGTTTTTTTAATAGTCATACGTTTTCGAAGATAATTTTGTCGTCGNCGTATGATAATTGGATCTTTAATAAGACATTTTCGATAATGTTCAAAATTGATAACCATTATATCGTAAAGAATTTGAAACGCTAATGTTTGTTTATCACAAAGATAAAATGTATGCAAACCTACAACAGTGAGTATGAATACTAATAATAAACGGAATAATAAAAATTCATCATAAATATCACGATATCTCCATATAAAATCACCGAAATAATCGTATCGAAATAAAGGAAATAAATCCGGCCATTTAAACATCAACATAATTGCCATGATACGAATAATGTATATGATTATGATGACCATTTCAAATCGATACAACAAACGTAAACGATAATCATCATTATGTTCGACCAATTGTTTAATTTGGCCATAACTAAATTCATGAATACGTATGAACATTTTGGTTGAAAGATTCACTGACAAATGTGAAATTCATTTCAAAATATATTCAGTTTTCATTGAACGTTTGTTATATATTCTAAAATGATTATTTATTAATCATTGATTTTTTCTCTTATCTGAAAAAAAAAGAATAGATCAAAAAGTTTATTTTTCCTTCTGCCCTTAAATAAAATAATCAATAATTTTTAAATTTGAAATAACTGAAAAAAATAAAATTCATTCATAAATGAATAATGAATCAATAAGAATATCTTTATCAAATACCGCATAATGAGGGACAATTTTTTGACGCACATTATTGTATTCAATGATTTGCTGTAAGTTATTTTTTTTGTATTAAAAAAAATTGAACCATTTCTTTGAAAAAAAATATTCGATCAAAAAAAAAAGGAAACTATTATAACTATACCATTTTTTTCCTTAATTTTTTTCCAAATATTGATCGCTACATTGTCATAATATCGGAATTTGCCAATCGAATCACATTTTTTTTTTAAAAAAAAAAGTTTAATAAAATTTAATCATTTTTCCTAATTGATAAATGATCACAAAATCAATAACAATATAATCAATGACGTTAGATTAGGAATGATCTTTTATTGTTCTGTGTATTAGTTTAACCGTAACCTTTATTCGTGCCTATTCGGTACAATCAAATAATTATAACATATAATAATAAATTTAAGCAATTGATTAGTTATTACAATAATAATATGAATGAATATAATGAAATAGATCGTTTACTAAGATATACACAAACAATATTATTGTTGTCTTGTATCCTTTGAAATATTAATTTAAATATGAAAATTTTTCAAATAAAAATTTGTCACCAAAATGAATATTAAAATATAAGCTGTCAAAGCCTAAATAGAAATATAATTAAAAGAAAAATTTTCAATTGAAAAATTAATACAAACCTGAGAAAGGGTAGTGTAGGTAACAGGACCAATATAACCGAATGTAAAACAATATAGATTACCATACATAAGATGACCATAAAGCTGTTCATATTTTAATTTCAATCGTAAATGTCCTAAATATGGAATACTTCTTGAAATGTATTTTCGAATATGTTCAATATAATTATATATATGGGCTAATGATGCTGTGGGTAAAATTGAACTGAATGCATGTAATACCGTTATGAATATATAAATCTGTTTTTCACTTTGACTTGGATGGCCAAATATTAGAATGCACATAAAACATACATTCATCGGTATGCCAACCATAAGGAATTGACATAATGCCATACTCCATTTCAAACGATCTGTGCATATTATAAAACCAGTAAGACGATTATGCTCGGAGCAAATAAACTGTAATTGCCAAAGACTGAAATGAGGAAAATATTCTTTTTCACCAATATTTCGTATTAATGAATAAAATTTCCTATTCAAATTATTAAAACAAAGACAATAGACTAATGATGATGTTGATGCCGCAAATATGGTCAATAATCCTGATTGCAATAAATTCATTGTTCCATTAAGTAATACAATTAGATCAAGAATTACGATAAACCATGTGCCAATACTTTCGATATAATGTTCAGAAAATTCTTTAATGAGATTACTTATTACGTAAATTGATAAAAACACTTGGTAATAATAAATGAAAATAATTGTCAAATGATAAGATTTCATTTATTCTAATCAAATGGTCCAAAACTTACTTGCAATTAAATGGAGAATGAAATTTAAACCATCTTGTATGATCATAAAAAGAACAAGATATACTCTTGCACGTACTGGTGCTTTTGAAAATAATTTCATTGGATTTCTAATGAACATCGATCTATTTAATCTAAAAGATTCCATTTCTAACCAAGAATCAAACCATGCTTTTAGCCAGCAATATCGACTATATATAAATAACGGTATGATCGTTTTTTTAATAGTCATACGTTTTCGAAGATAATTTTGTCGTCGAATTTCAATCGCATTCTTTATGATAATTGGATTTTTAATAACACATTTTTGATAATATTCAAAATTAATGACCATTATATCGTAAAGAACTTGAAACGCCAATGTTTGTTTATCACAAAGATAAAATGTATGCAAACCTACAACAATAATTAAAAGTACCAAAATCAATATGAATAATAAAAATTCATTATAAATATCATGATATCTCCATATAAAATCACTAAAATAATCATATCGATATATAGGAAATAAATCTGGCCATTGAAGCATCAACATAATAGCCATAACACGAATAATGTATATGATTATGATGGCCATTTCAAATCGATACAATAAACGTAAACGATAATCATCTTTACGTTCGACCAATTGTTTAATTTGGCCATAGCTAAATTCATGAATACGTAAGAACATTCTTGAACATTTAGAACTATTCAGCACCACTGCCTAATATGAAATTTATTCCAAGATATTTGTTCTTTACATTAAAAAACTTTTGTAATTTTTCCAAAAAAATCATTGAATCATTCATTGATCATTGGTTTTTTTTTCATTTTTGTTCTTCCAAAAAATCAATAATTTTTTAAAATTGGTATTTCAAAAACAACTACAATTTCATTCATTATTATTTTTTTTCAATTTCTGAGAAACCTGGCACAAACCAATCCAGTTATATCGAGTAACAATACGAATTCTAGTGCATATTTTGTTTTTTTGTTAGTTTGGGATGAGTTTTTTTACACAAAACAAATAGTAAAAAAAAAATAAATTCTCTTATCATGCATAACAAACCTGGAAATAAAATTTAAAAAAAAAAAATCCTCTTCTCAAAAAACATTTGATCATTATTTTAATGGAAACTTTTGACATTTCATTAGTTTCTATAGTTTGTAATATTGATTATCGTTACCAAATTCGCAATGATATTACTAAATTGTTGTTGGTTAATGTTTTTTGTTAATCGAAAATCATTTAAAACGAACCAAAAATACCATAATAGAACAAACAAACAAAAAAAATCATTTTATTATATAACATTTTTGCTATTGATAATCATAACATTGTTGACAATCATCAAAATCATTTACAATCATATTATCTAATGTTTTTATATAGGAATCAATTTCCTGTATAAATGCACGTTTAGCATCTAATAATTGTTGTTCAGATTGTGTTGAAATTATTTGTACCTGATATCGTAATTGTATTAATGTTTGACGAAATTGGCAATAATTTTTATCCGATTTATGTTTAAATGAATTTTGATTACCATATAATTGTGGCATTACTGTTTTTAATAAATATTCATAATAATTTTTTATCTGTTTACATTTCATTTCGGTTGTTAATTTCGCTGTTGATTGGTTTGGTTGTATTTTATCACAGAATCGATCAATTTGATTATCATTAGAATGATGATTATCAATCGATGATGATGATGATGAACATGTTGTAATAGCTAAAAATGGTTCACGATCAATATGCAATAGATTTTCTAAACGTTTCATATAATTTTCAATAAAATTTATTCGTAAAACATGTCCCATTTGATGATGATGATTAGATTTATTGTTTGTCATTGGTAATTGAAGAATTTTTCTTGAATTCTTTTGCTGTTGTTGTTGCTGCTGTAGCTGTTGTTGTTGTTCTAATTCAATTTTTAATCGTGATAATTTTCTTAAACAATCCTGTCTTGATAATTCTAATTCGGTTACTTTTTCATTCAATAATAAAATTGATGTTTCTAATTCGGTTAATTTTGGTGTCCATTCACAATCTTTTTGACCAAAATGATGACGAATCATATCAAAACCTTTATGTAATTGTTTTGGTTCAATTAATTCATTTTGATTTGAATTTATTGTTGATTGTTGTTGTTGTTGTCGTTGCTGTTGTTGTTGTTGTTTTCGTTGTAAACGGGATATCGGTGGTAATGAATTGATACGTTTAAAATTCTGTGCTGTTGATAATGAGGATGATGACGATGTTGTTGATGATTGTTGCTGTTGTTGTTGTTGATTACATCCATTAATTTTTGATTTCGAATAAAACAATGAACGTCCACGTTTTAATTCGGATAATTTTTGTTCACTACCAGCACCACCATGTGATTGATAATAATCATCAAAACTTTTAGTATAAATTGAACAATCATTTTGTTTCCAATCGCTATCGATGTAAAAATCACTGGTTTTTTTGAAAAAATATTTTCAAATTATTATCAAATTTGGAAAAATTAGTCAAAAACTTACTCGAAAGATTTATGTACAATGGCCATTGATGATTTTGAATTTCCCATTTTTTTTTCTTCGTTTACATTACTAATCGATTTCTTTTTGAAAAATTCAAAACATTTTAAAATTAAAATGCTATTTTTGGCTCGCTATTCGATGATGACATCAAATCAAATTAAAAACCACAAAAAAACGTTTAATGAAAATATCAAAATCACATTGAATTTGTGAAAACGAGAAAAAAACTGGTGGTTAAAGATTTCCGCAAATGATATTGTCATAGAAATTCATTTGCCAATTTTATTTTGAGGTTCGTTTACAATAATTCACCAAACAGAAAAACTATTGAAAATCAAAAAAAAAAACTGTTAAATCCTTGTTGAAATATATCATAAACAACAATCATAAATCATTGTGAATATCAACTTGAAAAATATCAAAATAAACGAAACAAAACGATTTTTCAACGATTATTTTGAAAAATGTCAACATTGATAGATTGATATTTTTTTTCTTTGCTGAAATGATTAAAATCACCATTCACATAAAATCATTTTCACCATTTCGAATGTCGGCATTGAAGAAAATGATAATTTTTGATTCCCATTGATTATTTTGGGAAATGAAAACTTAATCAATGAAACCAAGAGAATAACATATATGGCGCCCAACAAATTTGATGATAATTATCACGGAAAAAAAATTGATTATGAAAGAAAGAAAAAAAGGAAAATGTTTTCAATTTTTTTGGTGATACGACAATGTTTATGATATGACATTGATTGCGTTAATGTACAATAGCAACGGATAACAAACAAACAAACAAAAAAACACACACACATCACATTAAGAAAAACTTAAACCGTCATTTGTAATCATTATTATGGATTTTGTTGATTAAATAAAATCAAATTTAAACGCAATTATAATGTTGTCGTTGTTGATGATGATGATCGGAAGTCTGCTGATCTGGAATTACATCGTTATCGTCATCATTGGCCAATGAAGAATTGTTGTTGGTGAGCGAGTTAAAAACCACAACAACAACAACAACGATGTTTGAAATCAACCACCACCCAAAAGATGTCAACCGAAACAGTTTTTATCAAAAATGCAAAATGCAAAACAAATTGCATTGTACAACATTTGAAAAGCAAACAGGCAAACAACAACACTTAACAAACAAATAATGACAATATTTTATTACTCTTTTTTTAAATCAACAAGTTTGTTTGTCACCCGATGATGATGATGATGATGATAAATGGTAAATAATGTCTGACGATGATGATGATCATCATCGGTTTTTTTTTGTTAATGATGATCAAAAACAGGAAAGGAACACAGAAAATTTTCATTTACAGCATACGTATGGTTTCTCTTTTCATCGATCTACCTTTAAAAAAAAAAATGGAGAGAATCACTTTTTTTCTTGAAAAATGATTTCACAATAATGTTTTGTTGTTGTTGTCGATGAAATGAAACGGCACGTGTAGGAGTAAGTTAACGACATCGTCTTTCATTCAATTCGAAATATATAGAATTGGAACATACAAACAACAACCTACTGCCTACGGATTGTTCACAAACGATAATTATGTTATTATGGACAAAAATTCATATTCAAGATGATTCATTTCATTTTTTGCTGTTGTTTGGTTGTTCCAATTTATCAAAAGTGTTTTGACAAGACATTTTAGATTTGGAAAAATTTTTGTTTTTTTTTCTGAAAAATAAATTTGCAAAATGAGAAAAAAAAATCAAATAAAATTTTCCAAAATTAGATTTCGCGCTCTATGTGTCTCAACAACAACAACAACAACAAACAACTTTTTCAAATGAAAATAATCTTCAAACTTGTTAATTTGTCAATCCATTCGACCCAAAAGGCCATACATATATAATTGTGGTTCGATGACCGAATTAAAATGGTCAACATTATTACCTGCTGCTGTTGCTGCTTACAATCAACAAACAACCTGTTGATCGTTATTGTTGTCAAAATGAACAAAAAAACAAACAAAAATCTTTTTACATTTATTTATTGAATATAACACACAAGTGTAGGTCAATTGATCAGCTAATTGATCAACCCAAAACAAAAACGAAAAAAAGGATTATAACAACAACAACAAAATTAACGAAATTTTTTAAGCTATTTTTGAGAGAAAAAAAACAAATCTCAGTATCAGTATAAGTAGAATGGATGATTGTGAGAGAGAAAAAAAAACAATGATAAGATTTTTATCGAATAATGATGATGATGATAGGATTATAAAGGATTTATAAAGCATTTTGTTTTTTTCAGATTGTAATATTACATGGTTTCGATGTATTCTGATGTTTATGACGTTGAAATGGTGTTATACCACGTATATCATTACCAATCATATTTGCATATACATCATGATATAAATGTTCAATTGGTAATTCTGGATCTGTTCTAGATTTTTGTTGTGCTTCATCAACTTGTTTACGAATATCTACATCAATTTGTTTCAATTCATCACTGGTAACAAGTTCAGCTTGTATAATATTTTCTTTAAACATTGTAATTGGATCACGTGAACGACGAATTTCTTGTACTTCATCACGTGTACGATAACTTGTACCTGGATCAGATACTGAATGTCCAAAATAACGATAAGTTGATGCTTCCATAACGAATGGTCCTTGACCATCGCGACACATTTTGGCTAAAAATTCTGTTGCTTGTCGTACGGCTAAAACATCCATACCATCAACCCAAATACCGGGTACATAATCACCACGTGTATAAAATAATGGACAAGCAGAAGCTCTTTCAGCTGAAGTTCCCATACCGTAGCCATTATTTTCAACAACAAAAATAACGGGCAATTTCCACAGTGCTGACATATTGAATGCTTCATATACTTGTCCTTGATTTGCTGCACCATCACCACAAAGAGCCAATGTAATTTCACCAGAATTTGTATATTTTTGTGCCAATGCTATACCAGCACCTAATGGTATTTGTGCACCTACTATTCCATTTCCACCATAGAATCTCTGCGGAAAAATAATTTCAAATTGCAAAACAAATCAAAAACCATTAACATACGTACATCGCAATAAAGATGCATTGAACCTCCTTTACCTCGGGCACAACCTGTTTCACGACCAGTCAATTCTGCTAAAACACCAACAAGCGATGCGCCACGTAAATAAGTCCAACCATGAGCTCTATAGGCAGTGATTATGGCATCTTTTTTCCTATTAAAAGTATTAAAGATTAAACACAAATCTTATGAGGCGTTATGATAAATAATTACGTAATGGCATCTTCAATTCCAACGGCAACAGCTTCTTGTCCGGTATAAAGATGACAAAAACCTCGAACAGCTTTTTCTTTATATAATGCATTTGCTGCTGCTTCCATTCTACGTATAGTTGTCATTTCTCGATAATAATTAATTGCCTGATCACGTGTACAGGTAACTTCAGTGGATGGACCTTCATCAATTCGATGTAATTTATATGGATGTACGGTAAATGTTGCCGAAGATAATTGTTGTTTTTGTTGTTGACATTGAACAATTAAATCGGTTTTCGATGTTCGCCATAATGACGAAATCGTTCGTAAAGAAAACATGACTAGAAGATATTATTCAGATATCAGAATATATTGTAAAAGTTATATTGAAATGATTATCTGATCCGAAAATGAAAAACAAATAAATAATTTCTAATCAAAAATGAATGATTCCTTTTAATAACTTTGAGATCAAAAATCTCCTTCACAAACACATCCTGAATTCAGTTCTGTGCATGTGCAGAATTTCATCAATCAGCTGAGTAATATTATTTTAGTTTTCTTCATTTTTTTCATTCAAAAAAAAAAAAAAAAAAATCTTGTCGATCGTTCAATTCGTCAACATGGCGATTGGATTCCAAATCTTTTTCCTTTGATTTAATTATAGAATTTTTAGATATAATTATTATGATTAAAAATTTAAATAATAAAAATAATAATTTCCAATTATAAACGAAACAAAAAGGGGGCGAAAAAAAATTCTATTTATAAAATCCGCAATTGAATAAAATTCCCGAATTTTCTTTGATCACTGCATTTATGTACAGGATCACGACGTGGTTTATATATTTTTTTAGTTTATTGCTTCGATGTGTCTTGTTTTTTTTTAATTAGAAAGAAAACATTGGATGACTATAGCGAGCAAGTTAATTTTTGAAAAGAAAAATTAAAACTATTAATTTTGAATAAAAAAGAAATAATTTTCCTATCAATATGAGCGATTGGGATAAAGTGACTGTATTGAATAAACGTCCAGTACGTCAATCAGAACTTCGTACTAAACAAGCGGTAAATAATGCTATGAAATCTGGTGTACCAATTGAAACGACAAAAAAATTTAATGCCGCTACAAATAAACATGCCGGACCAAGTGTTAGTGCTGTAAAACTTGATCAAGAAACTGAAGATTTTCATCATAATCATGTATCGATGGATGTATCGAAATTAATTTCATCACAACGTCAAAAAATTGGTATGACACAAAAAGAATTGGCAACAAAAATCTGTGAAAAACCACAAGTGGTTAATGAATATGAAGCCGGTAAAGCTATACCGAATCAACAGATTTTGGGTAAATTGGAACGTGCATTAGGTATTAAACTTCGTGGTAAAGATAAAGGATTACCATTAGTACCTAAAAGTGGTAAATGAATATAATAAACAAGTCAAACATCCGATTCTTGGACATTGTTGTTTTGTCAAATCGGGTTTTTTATTAAACACATACAACAACAACCATACAAACATTTTTACACATTTTTTTCTGTACATTGTTGTAAGCTTCCTCTTCTTTTTTTTGATATGCGATAAATTCCTTTACAAACAAAAAAAAACTAAACATAAAGATTATCTTTGCAGATTGATATATTGATTATATTGAGATGAATAAAATGAAAGAAACTTTTTCTTTTTTGATCATAATTATAATTGTTGACAATAGATGTCGATATAGTAGTATTCCTCATTGTTTTGATTTTGCATTGAATATAATTGCGTTTCGACTCAGCCAAATTCATTATTCGCGAATTCTTGTTGAAAATTATTTCGAAATTTCGTTTTTTTAGATTTTCATTTTTCATTTTTTGAAAAAAATATGGCCAATGTACCGAATGATACTCTACAGTTACGTATTAAAACTAAAAATGGTCAATTTACTATTGATACATTGCGTATGTCATCAACAATTGGTGAATTAAAATCCATAATATGGAGTATAACCCAAATACATCCAGATAATTGTAAATTAATGATTGGTTATCCACCTAAAGAAATATTTCTTGTTGATGATGAACAATTAGTTAAAGAAATAATACCAAATCGTCGTGAAACATTAATAATGGATGAAATTGTTGGACAATCATCATTGAATAATCGTGAAAATGTTCGACCAGTTATACCATTTAATATCAATGAAGATAAACTGATACGTCGTATGGATCGTATCGAAGTGCCTGCCAATAATTCTTGCCTATTTGTTAGTGTTCATTTTTGTTTGACAGGCGAAATACAGGAAAAATGTCCACGATTACGTAATCTAATAGCCGAAACAGTACGATCTGATCCGATTACATATAATGAAGGATTTTTAGGAAAACCAAATGATGAATATCAAAAATGGATACGTAATGAAGATCATTGGGGTGGTGGTATTGAACTATCAATATTATCAGCATATTATGAAATTGAAATTGTTGCTGTTGATACACAAAATGAACGTTTAAATCGTTTTGGTGAAGATAAAAATTACCCGAGACGTATATTTTTAATATTTGATGGTATACATTATGATCCATTGGTAGTACATTCGAATGATTTAGATAATCCAATACAAACAAGTTTTTCATCCGATGATTTTGAAGTAATTGAAATGGCATTAGATGTTGCACGTAAAGCTAAAGCTAAACATCAATACACTGATCTAAATAAAATGTATCTTAAATGTAATCAATGTAATAGGCTATTTGATCAAAATCAAGCACGTAAACATGCATCATCAACTGGACATATAAATTTTAGTGAATTAACTGACAAAAAATGATTTTTTTTATAATTATTTTATTTTATTTTATTATTAACATTGTATGAAAAGAAACTGAAAAAAATCCTATACACTTATTCAAAGACTCGATTAGAAAATATTAAAATTTCATCATTAAATTATAAATAAAATCATTAAAAATTTTATTTTTTTTTTTTTGAAAAAATTTACAACAAATCTATATTGTTGTTGGCAGAATAGCCTGTTTATTTGGATCACATGTAAATGGAATGGTTAAGGCAAATCTTTCACCATTCGAAACTATTTCGACCATATGTTGATTTTCTGAACCGGATGTAAAAAATGAAACTCGACCAAATTTTGGTTCAATAGTTGTATTCGAAATTTTTTTATCCAATTTTTGTTCATCCATAAAAATAAAACGACCACCAGAAAATTCTTCATCATATGTTGACAGATAAAGTAATGATGTATAATGAAAACTATCATATGTAAATTTATCAACATGTGGATGCCAATATTCATCATTTAATGTTTTTGCTAGTCGTGAATCAATACGAGTAAAAAATACTGGACTAGTTAGATAAAGATGATTACTTTCAATACCAAATGTCAATGAAATTGTTTGTATTAATTTTTTACGTACAATATGAAATGTATCAAAAGTTTTTGATTTGATCATCTGTTGAAGATTTGGTGAAAGTTTTATCAATTTATATAAATTTACAAATTGTGTTCCATTCGAAAGAGCACCGGAAGCTAAATCAAAAATAGCAACACCACCTTGTGGTCGAATCAATGTGAATATGGTTTGTGCAAATAATCGTAATTCTAATGCTTCATTATTATTAACAATCGAATCGCTAACAAAACGACCACATTTATTTGGTGTACATTGTTTAAATCTAATTCGATCATCATGATAATCATTTGTTGAACATTGTATAAATTTTCCAATCGGACTTCCTAAATAATTATCATGTCTTGAAGCCATTGTTATTGTTGTTTTCAATGATAATGATTGATTATCTTTATGATAATGATAGATATAAATAATAAACATTATCGACATTGAAATCATAATTTTACGTAACCAGATTGGCCATGATAATATACCATTAACATTATTATTATTATTATTACGGTTATCATCACTGAATACATTACTGTTCATTGATTTATGTTGTTGTTGCTGTTTTGAATTATTTTGTTTTCCAATATTTTTATCGTTATTAATAGATTGGTCATCATCATTTGACTGTTGTTTATTTTTATTATTAACATTCGTTTCATTATGCAATAAATTGCGACGGCGATGATTATTTTGTACCATTTTTATTTTCTTGAATAAAATCGTTGCAAATCGATGATCAAAATTTCGAAAAATAAGATAAAAATGAATGTCAATGTTTTTTTTTTGTTGATTTGCAATGTTGCAGGGCGAAAAAAACTAGCTATTTTTTCAAATTTCGTAAAATATCAACAACCAAAAACAAGAAAGAAAAAAAGATTTAGAGAAGCTCAAATCGTTTAAATGGATAGCTTAATCATATGTTTTATTTTTCTTAATGTTCATTCAATGGTCAATATAATCGAGCTAAATGAAATTCAAAGCAAAATAAGAAAAACTGGTTATAATCGTCGTCGTTGTTGATGATAAATATTGATTCAAAATATAACGCGAGCAATTGACATACATTTTTTTGGGAATTGACATGGCTATAATTGTCTGTTTGTGTGTGTTTTGATACACAGGTAAAAATAGCCAACCATTTCATGTTCGATATAGCGCCAAAATTCAATTTACCATTAAAAAAAATTTAAATAACGAATAATGTGATCAATCACTTTCGTTTGATTATGGTTTCGAATTGGATGCTCGTAACAGGTAGATCGTTTTTTAACAACATTTACAACATTGGTGATATCGTCATGGTCTATTATTGTGAGAATGATCGATGTCAATGTCATTCCAAATTATATGATTAATGTGTTTGTGTGTGACAATCATTTTGAATCCACAAAAATTAACAAATTGAATTCTCTTAAAATTAGTAAAAAAAAAATCTGACCAAATTTCTAATCTGATATGATCTAAATTTTGTTAGTTTTTTTTTTAAACGAAGAAGATTTTAATTGAAAACAAACCATATTTGACCCGTTGTATGCTGTAAAATAGATTCTAGATAGATCAAAATGAACGAAAACCGGATCTTAACCCGAGAGAAGAAATAAAAACATCTTATATTCGCGGTCTCCTTTTTTTTAAAATAATTATTATTATTTTATAATCTTGACATAGATTTGTTTTTATTTTCATCTTAACAAAATGAAATGTTTGAGTAAAAATAGCCATCGAACGTTTTCGGTTTTTTTTTCGTTCGTTCGTCGAGAACACACACACACAAACATTCGAATTTAGAATGTCGGAGGCGATAAAATAAATAAAAAAAAATATTTTCATATTTTGTTTTCCATATTAAAATCAGCCAAAAATAAATGAAATAAAAAACAACAACAACATTGACAACCAAAACGGAATCATCATGCAAAAATTCAAAAATAACAAATGATGCACGAAAAAAAATCCAATGATGTCAAAATTATCATTTATCCTTTCGAATGGTTCAATGTTTTTTTTTTTTTTTTGGGGGAAAAAACCATTTTTTTTTTTCGCCAATCTAACGATGGAAAAATTTTTCCTTTTCCCAACTGCCCGAC